CCAAACAGGAGGGTTGAGTCTTTGCTGTAGCCTGCTGACACAAACAGGAGAATGCTTGGGCAATGTTCCTGGACTGCAGTGAGGATTGCTTCCCTTTTGACCGAGTTGAAAGCGTTTTTAAAATCTAATTTTACTACTGCCTGGTCTTTAGTAAGAGAGCTAATGTAGGCTCGTGCAGCATGAGCCGCTGCTTCACAGCCTTGGGGGACTCCAAACCCCAGCTGGTTGGGTTGCAGCATGGTGGTTGCTTCCATTCAGCCCTTGCAACTAGGCGGCGAAGGGTATTACCAACGGCAATGGGTCTGATCTCTCCCCCCTTCTTTTTCAGGGCACATAGGGATGCACCAAAGAAGAATGGTTTGATTTCATCAGGGATTAACCCGGCGAGGCAGTTGTTGACAAACATTGTGATTTCTGTCAGGAGCGCTTCTGCAGCTGGGCCAAGAACAGGGTTCACCATTTCCTTCACATGTTGAGATCTTACCCCTGTGTAGCCTCCTGAGGAGCCCGGGGGAAATGAAACGATAGCTTTATAAACCTCTGACTCCCGGAGAACGAGAGGTTCCTGGTTAGGGGCGAGCCTGACCTGTGGGGGAGGTCCACCTACGGCCCTGAGGGGGTGTTTTTCTCTCAGTGCTTGGGCTGTGGTTTCATCCCTGGGCAAAATTTTGTCCTCACTTGTGATCAACCTGAGTGCCCCGACTGTATTGCCCTCTTCAATTTTCTTGCTGACTTGGGTACCTAATTTTCTGTTGTCGCTGATTGTCGTACTTGGTCTCCCTCGGCGGTGTTTGGTGTGTTTGGGGAGGCGGACTAGGTTGTCAGCCCTAGGAAAATCCCTAATTGCTTTATTGACGGATGAGGCCAGTGTCTTGCCTCCTCTGTCTGGTACACCTAAGCGTACCTCTGTCTGGTATACACTAAGCGTAAGTGTCCTGGGTCAGGGAGGCCTCCCACGGGAGGCCTCCCTGACCCAGGACAGTCGCCATGCTGGCGTATGACTGGAGACCGAGTTGATGCTGATGTTGCTCCCACAAACACTGCATGTGTCTCTCCTTTGATTGGCTTCGGGAGGGGTGAGCTGGCTGGTAGCGGCTTCTTCTGCCATCCCCTTAGGTGAAGTGACTGTCACCTTGCACTGGAGTATTTGTCTCTCCCTCCTGGCTGGGGGGGGGGGGACGAGGTTGTCCCCTATACTATGCGTCATGTCTGGGCAGATGTCTGGGGTGGGTGGGCTCGTGGAGGTGGTGGGTGGGGGTTTGGTGGCTGCGCTGGCCTGGTCTGGGAGGGGGGCCGGGGAGGGGAAGGCGCGACCACCTGATCGTGGGAGGTGGGGGCGGGGGAGCGGAAGACACTGCACCACACGGAGGGGGGGGGGGGGACACTACACAAGTGGAGTGGGCGAGCGGGAGACACTACACTCACTGGGGGGGGGGGAGGCACTACACTCAGGGGGTGGGGGGAGGGTTGATGTGGCACGTAACACTTGGATAATTTCCTTTTGTCACTAAACACTGGTGAATGTGTCCTGGCTCACTGGGTGTGGTGCTCTCAACACGATACTCACAATTGTCCAGTCACCACAGGACTGGACTCAACTTATCTTTTTCAAGCACTTATTGGCACACTGGTGACCCAGTCTCTTGACCCCACCACATGTGCCCTTCCACCCTTTCCTGGTGAGGGAGCCGTAGGGCGTGTGACGTGTGTGGGCGTGGGCTGACGGTGGGCGTGGGGTGGCGGTGGGCGTTGGGTTGCGTGGGGGGACGGTGGGCGTGGGGTGCCGGTGGGCGTAGGGTTGCGTGGGGTGACGGTGGGCGTGGGGTGGCGGTGGGCGTAGGGTTGCGTGGGGTGACGGTGGGCGTGGGGTGCCGGTGGGCGTAGGGTTGCGTGGGTGACGGTGGGCGTGGGGTGGCGGTGGGCGTTGGGTTGCGTGGGGTGACGGTGGGCGTGGGGCGGCGGTGGGCGTTGGGTTGCGTGGGGTGACGGTGGGCGTGGGGTGCCGGTGGGTGTAGGGTTGCGTGGGGTGACGGTGGGCGTGGGGTGGCGGTGGGCGTTCGGTTGCGTGGGGTGACGGTGGGCGTGGGGTGGCGGTGGGCGTAGGGTTGCGTGGGGTGACGGTGGGCGTGGGGTGGCGGTGGGCGTTGGGTTGCGTGGGGTGACGGTGGGCGTGGGGTGCCGGTGGGAGTGGGGTAACTGTGGGCGTTGGGTGACGATGCGTGGGAGGTGATGGTGGGCGTTGCTCGACATCGGTCGTGGGGTGGACGATGGTCGTCGGGTCAGCCGCCGGGAGAGGGAAGCTGGGTGGGCTGGCGAGGCCTGTGGGAGGCTAGGGAGAAGGATGTAGCCAGAACGCCATATATATATATATATATATATATATATATATATATATATATATATATATATATATATATATATATATATATATATATATATATATATATATATATATATAAATATATATATATATATATATATATATATATATATATATATATATATATATATATATATATATATATATATATATATATATATATATATATATATATATATATATATATATATTATATATATATATATATATATATATATATATATATATATATATATATATATATATATATATATATATATATATATATATATATATATATATATGGCGTTCTGGCTACATCCTTCTCCCTAGCCTCCCACAGGCCTCGCCAGCCCACCCAGCTACCCTCTCCCGGCGGCTGACCCGACGACCATCGTCCACCCCTTCTTCTTCTAAATACATCTTCAGAAGGTCCAGAAGGACCTTCTGAAGATGTATTTAATATACGAAAGTACTTAAGGCAATATCCTGTTTCATTTATCCTCCGTGGTCTGACATTGTCATATATATATATATGTCGTACCTAGTAGCCAGAACGTCGTACTCGGCCTACTATGATAGGCCCAATTTACCTAATAAGCCAAGTTTTCATGAACTAATGTTTTTTCGACTACCTAACCTACCTAACCTAACCTAACCTAACTTTTTCGGCTACCTAACCTAATCTATAAAGATAGGTTAGGTTAGGTAGGGTTGGTTAGGTTCGGTCATATATCTAAGTTAATTTTGAATCCAATAAAAAAAATTGACCTCATACATAATGAAATGGGTATCTTTATCATTTCATAAGAAAAAAAATAGAGAAAATATATTAATTCAGGAAAACTTGGCTTATTAGGCAAATCGTGCCTTGCATAGTAGGCCGAGAAGTGCATTCTGGCTACTAGGTACGACATATATATATATATATATATATATGTCGTACCTAGTAGCCAGAACGCACTTATCAGCCTACTATTCAAGGCCCGATTTGCCTAATAAGCCAAGTTTTCATGAATTAATTGTTTTTCGAGTACCTAACCTACCTAACCTAACCTAACCTAACTTTTCCGGCTACCTAACCTAACCTAACCTATAAAGATAGGTTAGGTTAGGTTAGGTAGGGTTGGTTAGGTTCGGTCATATATCTACGTTAATTTTAACTCCAATAAAAAAAATTGACCTCATACATAATGAAATGGGAAGCTTTATCATTTCATAATAAAAAAATTAGAGAAAATATATTAATTCAGGAAAACTTGGCTTATTAGGCAAATTTGGCCTTGCATAGTAGGCTGAGAAGTTCGTTCTGGCTACTAGGTACGACATATATATATGTATATATATATATATATATATATATATATATATATATATATATATATATATATATATATATATATATATATATATATATATATATATATTAGCGATTTTGAACAAAGAAACATTTCCATTTTTATTTATATAGACTTATAAAGCAAGAACTCGTCAACATGATGTTTTAATCGGTCAGATATGCCAGGGTTACTTGTTTTTGTGGAGTTTTTCTGTCAGTGAGATGGTCCTAGTTTGTGACGCAGAAATCTGCCTGTATGCTGGTATGTGACGGTAGGAATCTGGATGAATGATGAAGTGTGGCGGTAGGGGAGTGTGGCGGTAGGAGACCGGATGAATGGTGGAGTGTGACGGTAATGGTTTGGATGTATGCTGCGGTGTGACGGTGGGAGTGAGGATGTATTATACCCTGTAGTTTGCCAGCGAGAGAATGGATGTACGGTTCTGTGTAGTAGCAGTGGTCTGGACAATGGTGAAGTGCATCAAGAAGCCATCATAATGTCAGTTGGAGTATAACCTAGGAGTAATGATTCAAACTAAACTGTGCCGATTGGAGTGTTAATATTATTAATGGAGTGACTTTGAGAGTCTGGATGTATACTAGAGTGTGACATTGGGAGTCTGGATGTATGCTGGAGTGATATGGTGGTGCTCTGGAAGTATGCCGGTGCCTGACGTTGAGAGTCTGGATGTACATTGTAGTGTGACAGTGGTGGAATACATGACAATAGGGCGAATGTCACAGTGAGAATTTTCAATGTTCTTTTCCTGTTTTGCCCAGGCAATGATCGCTATCATAATGATGATGGGCATGACGACCAATTATCCACAACACTTAAATATTATCAGTGCTCGAGGTACTACGAACATTTGATTCACGTGGCTGTTTCACTTTCCTTAGATAACGATAACAAAGAGTTTTCAGAGTGCACACGTCACACGGGAGTTAATAGGTCATTGATGCTTCCGTGTATTGCGTTCATAAAACAAACGCCCAATAGTGCCATGGTCAGAGTGAAAAAACATCGCAAAACCTAACTGTTCAGGTATGAATCGCGGCGTTTAGGTTACATTAACATTCAAACCAACTAACAGAATTGACTTTGTTAACTTTACCAGCAAGTTGAAGGCTATTGGAATTGATAATTGCCGGTGTTGTGTGCTCGGAATATCAGATCTATACGAGGAAATATTTATGAATGTGTTTCATAATACTGCTTACGTGCCATCACCTTTGACCCAGGTTGAGGCACTTGGCACTGTTACCGTCGATATAAAAGGCGCGACGCTTCTTCTTGAAGTCAGTTCACTTGGAGCCTTGCTACAGCCAACATTATGGTAAGACATAATTTACCTGTAGCTGGTTGATTATTAAAGTAGAAAAAATTCATTGATAATATTTTGCTACATTGTTGAACATTAAAATATATATTAGAACAAGTAGTACACAGATTGCCAACATATACTATGCGCAGTATATGCGTGAACTTGATGTAATGTGTATACTCCTTACTGAGGTAAACTCATACTTTATTAATTTTCAGAAGCTGGTGATAGTGTCGATGAGCGTTGCCGTCCTGGTGGCCTGCAGTTGTGCTGAACCCGATGCAAGTTCCTTCTCCACCTATCCTTACGTAGGTGGAAGCTATGGGCTCTCCAGTCCAGGCATTGGAGGAGGCTTTGGCTCATTTGGTGGAGGAACACGTTACGGTTCCTTTGGAGGTGTTGGTGGAGGCTACGGTTTGGGAAGCGGCGCCACGAGTCATTCCATTTTCAACCTTGGAGCGCCACAGGGTAGATATGGAGGCAGCTTTGGACGCGGCTTCGATAGAGGTTACATCGGAGGATCCTCTGGCCTAGGTTTCGGTGGCAGTTCCCTTGGTGGAACCTACGGTGGCAACTTCCAAGGTGGAAGACTCGGTGGAAAATCCTTTGATTTTTAATCCTTTAAAATCGTTACGGTGGCAGCTTCCTTCGCAGTGGTTAAGGTGGCGGCTCCACTGGCAGAGTGAAATATTGTCGGGGTTTCACAATGGAAATGAATACGGGAATTGCACAAGCAAGTGAACGTATAGATTCAAGGAAGTCTGACACCTTATCTTTACATATTTTTTTGTTCAGCACTCACATGACTTAAAAATTTTTTAAGTCAAATTATGTGCCGTTTGAAATGATGGTATAAATCCCAGTCGTTTGAAATTGCCATCAATGCATCTTAGTAGAGTTCATGTATGAATCAAGGTCCGAATATGCAAGTCTTATTTCGTATTTGGTTATTATTGATGTATTTTAGAAGCAAAAATAAAGAATAATATAATGACTGTTGTTTTTATATCGTTAAAACATTGGTATCTATAATCAAGGTGTATATCTGCCAGCCACTGGAGCAAGGCTCAGAAAATGAACGACAGAATGGCCGATGAAACATAAATGCTGAAAATGAATGATTCTCAGGATTGGTAATGATGATAAAGTTAAAAATATGTCATCCGGAAAAGGCTGAAATTCCGATGTATGAATGCGTAAAGCGTCCGGGAGGATTAAGTTATAATTAATAATTCACTATTTTGTGACTAATACATAATGAACATTTTGTAGTACTATTGAGCTTCCGTTTAAATGTTGAGTATGATGTGCACAACACGCCAATGATGAGCAAAGGATAAAAAGCAACTCATTTTTAAGCATAGAGAATGTATAGTAATAAATTATTGAGCACACAGGCTGTACAATATACACTCGATTTGCATATAGGAAGCACAGTAACGAAACAAGAAGCATGAGGTGCTCAATAACCAAATGAACTGGAACTTGCCAGTTAGTTTTAAGTGGACCTGAGGGAGATAGAATACATTTTAAAAAAATAATAAAATGCATTATTAAGGGTGCTTAGTTTACAGGTAAGGGCGTGTATTAGTGCAATTCTTATGGCTATGAAGTAGGTGTAAGATATTCCGCATACACATATAATTGATTGAAACGATCTTCTGTCATTGATACAACATCGTAGCGAGTTAGATTCCTTCCGATATTGGTCTCCGAATGCATGATATAACTGATGAGTTAGCCAAAACCTTTGCTCACAAAGAGGGAATTGATTACCGTCTTGGACTGCCTTTGAACAGCCTGAGGTCAGTAATATTCCAGAAACATCAACAAACTCTCGTAGACTTGAGGCAAAGTAAAATTCACACCAGTTATTCCATCTATCAACATTCTATTATGCAGGAAGAACCTTTTATTGTAAAACAAGTTAATGTGTTGAAGTAGCAGGATAGCTATTTGAATTGTTGAGTAAAGCAGCGATGATTTGTTGAGGGCGGAGACTGGCCATTAAGATTTTATAATGGATGAGGCTAGCACGGAAATATTATTACTCTGAATGTATACACTTTTCTCAGTAAGTTGCTATTAATTTGAAACAGGGTTTTCGTTATGCTTCTATGTAACTTATGCCATGACTTGACTTTTGAGGAAGCTTTTAGTAATAATACTTTTAGTCACTGATTAAAGAAGAATCTAAACAGAAGACGTCGGGGATCGTAGATTAATAAATTCTCTAAGAGCTACTGTTGGAGAAGTCAGCTCTCTTGGCATTGGACGTGGAGGTAACTATCCCGACTATTTTGTGAAATTAGTTTTCCCTTATGGACGTAACTGCCACGGCTCAACACCTTACGTCTGTAGTGGAAACTTGGAATATAAGCTTCGAAAGCACATCGGCAGTCAGTCTAAACTCGAATAGTGGCTCAGTACAGACGTTAGAGAGATACCGCACATCTTCAACATTCACCAGCAACAATGTAACACTTGACGAGTCCAGTTCATACACTCTCAAGATGCTACAGCCCCGACACAGGGCAGATAGCCAGATTCCAGCCGCATCGAACTTCCAAGCTCTCATCCCGCACACGAACATTTTGACTCCACCCACATTCCACGCTCTGATTGTTCCCGCCGGAGGCAGCTAGTTTATTGTGCACCCCATGCTCATGAATAGCTGTGAGCTACCTGTGAGCGGTAGCGCCAAAAGGTGATGAATTCAGTAAGGCAAAGTTTAAGTTTTTAAGTAATTATTTTCTATGATCCTACTTGCTAAATACCAATAACTGTGTCAGCTGTAGTGCAGTAATAAGCGCCGTCTGCTCAAAACTGATTGGTCCTTGGTTCTATTTACTCGCTGGAGAAGACGGTTGGGCACGTTTACTTCTATCTGATGCCCCTTCAGTCGACAATATGGAACAAAATCATAAGAAATGCGGTGGCAGCTGAGGCACTTGTACCTACACAATACATAATAGTTGAAATCAGTGTAAACTGCACCTCAGAAAGGAAAAGTGTAAGCTCTATCCGTCTTTCTTCAATACTTTTGCGAGACCTGCAGAGATCCCCAAGCCCAGTCCGGGGCTAGGCTAGGCTTGTGAGAGCTTGGTCCAACAGGCTGTTGCTTGGAGCGGCCTGCAGGCCCACGTATCCACTGCAACCCGGTTGGTAAAGCACTTACTGATGAAAACTATCCAGTTTTCTAGTAAATACGTCATCTTTTGTTCCGGCAATATTTATTATGCTCGCTGGGAGGATGTTGAACAACAGTGGACCTCTGATGATCATGTAGAGTTTTCTGATTGTGCCTATGGCACCTCTGTTCTTCATTGGCTCTATTCTGCATTTCCTGCCATATCGTTAATTCTAGTATGTTGTTATTTACTGTGTAAATTTGGGGCCTGGCCCTCTAGTATTTTTCAGGTACTGTATATATTATTTGTCACCTCTCTCGTATTCTTTCTAAAGAGTACATGTGGAGAGATTTGAGACGATCCCAATAGTTTAGTTGCTTTATCGTGTCTGTGTATCTCATATATATGTTCTCTGTATTTCCTCTATTTCAGCAATCTCTCCTGCTCTGAAAGGGGGAAGTAAATCCATCTTCATTAAGCATCTCATACTTGCTCTCTTGTCGTGATCTTACTGTAATCCAGTGTTCCTGAACCAAGGTCTGTGGCTACCTCACCTGGATGAAGCACCTTAAACAGTATATGATCAATAAGATATAGTGTCACACATACAAAATGACCCTCGAAAACTGGACGTAATTAGTATATATTTGCAATAATCAGCAATCGATTATGCCGGTGTATAATGTGTCTGATGATGTCTCTCTCCACTTCTGGAGGTATCCACGGTATGGAGGAAGACACACACAATGCTCGATGCAGCGTCGGCGTCGTACTGGACCACATACATGAGACGAGAAATAGACATACGTCTATTCTCATGCCAGGATGAGAACAGTATGTCAGGACATGAGTGCCTCCATCTCTAGGGAGGTTGCTAGAGATGAGACACAACCAACTTTCCGCGAAGGAGATATTTTAGGAACTGTAAACGCTGTTTTCCGAGATAAGTGAGGCACAATGACGAAGCTGTATTGACCACACAACGACATAGTTGAGGTATTAAACTCTCAAGAGACTCGGTCCATGAGGCTGGATTGAGAATAATGGCTGCTGCACCATTCGTATGGAGGAATTTTGCGGCTGAGTTATATAAGAAATGTTTGTCGCGCAGGAGACTATGCGCGCACAGTTTGGAGAACGACACATTCCGAGTGGAAACAGAAACAACATTTACAGAAGCTCAAGACTGGGGTTGGCGATGGGAGGCATGAGCATTAAGGCATGCAAGTGTACCAACGCGAGCAATATGGGATCCTGCTGTGTGGCCCCATGAGGTTTGGCTGTGTAACACCAGAAGATCTGGTTTTGTAACACCAGAGTGGTTTAGCTGTGCAAAACCAGGTTGCTTGGGCTAACGTAACACTAGCTGGTCTATTGCCTACCCATGTAACACCGTAAGGCCTCTGACGTGGTCAGAAAGCGTATAATATAGTTAATATCTTTGACCCTTAAACAATCCAAATAAAAGTTTGTCGTTATTTTAACTCTCCCACCGACTTTTCTGATATTCACGTTCTTCCTCAAGAGCATCTTCCTCTTAACTTTCACCAAACTACATCTCAGTCTTCATGGTAATCTTTTCATTATCATCTTCCTCATCTATCACTATTAATGTAAACATCCACTTCCTCAGTTTCCTAGAGCAGGAAGGCTGGCGGTCTTGCCCACAGCTGACCCCGCTAGGTCTCCTGGGGAACTGTGTGTCAAACAACTAATTTAGCCAAGCACACAAACCAATAACACGATATATAATCATTTTAAGCAAATTCCCCCAATGGGTACCCAACTTCCCCAGCTCAAGGCTGCTGTGGGAGTATCAGCGTTACGAGTGTGAGAGAAAGCACCAAGTCTGCTATTGCTCAACATAATTAATCAACAGGACCCTCCCCTCGCGGTATATGCTGTACATCACATAATCAACACAGCTAATAAAATGGCTCTTCAAAATTATAATTTCTTACTTTGTATTCATCATGAACAAATGTGGAGCAGCCAACCTAAGACACCACATTATTTCCTGTTCATTAATTTAGGATGAGGAATACTAATGACAACGAATGAATATTTTTGCTTTTAGCTTTGTTAATATACTAATATGCATATTTACCTACATGATGTTCGTCCCGTTTTGGCAAACTTTGAAAACTTTAGTGAACTTCCGTCCTTCGTACTGTTTCAAAAGTTTGGATATTTACATATTACTCAATAAGACAAGATGAAATCCCATAATTATATATTGCTAGGTCCTACCAGCTATATTCTGCAGCATGAGTACGTAATGGATAATTGCTGAGTTTATTTCAGTTGACAACACACTCGCATTCAGTGTTCTATCACACGACTAATCGATTCCTACACTGAGTACGATGTTCACGATCAGCAAGGACTCTGACCGCCACAGTTCTGATATTTCCACCTATTAGTCGTGTGATAGAACACTGAATGCGAGTGTGTTGTCAACTGACAAATTCAGCAATTATCCATTACGTACTCATGCTGCAGAATATAGCTGGTAGGACCTAGCAATATATAATTATGGGATTTCATCTTGTCTTATTGAGTAATATGTAAATATCCAAACTTTTGAAACAGTACGAAGGACGGAAGTTCAACACCTGATGCGGTCTGTGAAATCTGTGAACTTGAGGATTCGACAACGATCATTTCCATAAAGTTTATCTCGGTCCAAGTCCATTTGAACATAATTTTCTTTCGTAACAGGATATAATAGAAACTGTTAATGCCGATTAATATCACCAGATTACCTTAAATTTGCAGTAATGGTTCATCTTACACAGGCAATTGAAGTATGTGAAAAGTCATCACTTTCAGGCAGCTACAATGACGGACGTCTTGTATGT